TTGGAGGCTGGGGCAGAAGGATCATGATTTTGGGGCCACCCTAGGCTACACAGTGAGACTCTATCTCAAAAATTTTTAAAAAATCATTCAACTGACACATCTCAATCCTCTAAAATGGCTACTCTGTTATTAATGTGAATCATCAAGTCATACTTACCATTATATGGTAGATACCTCTTCTGTACACCTCTGAACCTCTACAGTCCTTTTGAGAGAAAACCAACCAGTCAGCTCAGGTGCAGAGCTTGAAACATGAGAGTGTTAACATTCCTAAAACTTAAAGGCTGACCATTAAAAACACAAAATAAACTTTGTTGGCAAACTTTAGAATGCTCTTCACTCCCTACTCATGGCCAGGTAACCTTGAGACTCTCCTGTTACTCTTCTATCGGTCACTACAATCCTTCTAGTAGAGATGTTTGCTTTTTTTGACATATAAAAGCTAAACACTTGGGGTCAAAAAACAGGATCCATAATTTCTAAAGGGCTTACAAAATGCATGAAATGTTACTTCCCATTTATTTGATCATTTAATATGATATATCATTTATATGCTACATTAAAAAATTACTGTAGAAAAACATTCCTTCCTGGCCATACAATGGGGCAAAAGAATTTCTGTGATCTCTAGAAAGCTATTCCTTTGAGATAAAATTCAAACATCCTTTTGCCCTTGTATCTGAACTTCATGATGATAACATTCCCCTGGCTGTCATGAATCAACTTTGTCTTTTGAGCTACACTGAGACCTTTACACCCAGGAGGAGGAGGTTCTCTGACTTATTCTTGGCAGTTCAATGCAGGCTTATAAGAGTTATCAGTGACCATAGTGGGACTCGAAACAACAAGTCCCAAGAAGAGTGGACATTCAGGAACTGGGAATGCAAGCAGTTTAATAAGTCTAGACATTGGAGTATACCTTTAAGGAATGGAAAGAGACTGGTGATTGAAGTAGTGATTTGGTAACCCATGTTAAGAAATGTGCTTTGTACTTTCCCTTAGAGAAATGGGATAGCATCCAGCAGTTTCTGTTCATTTTCTCTTCTTCCAGACCACTCAGTGGCAATGTGGACTGCAGAGCCCAGAGAGAGCATAGCTGTATTTCCATAGCATTTTCAGTGACATGCACATACACTTTCCAACTTCCCCAAACTGTAGGAACACTATGTCTCTTGGTGTTATGTGTGTGAGCTGATTGTCTCAATTTATCATTAGTAGAAAAGATCTGTAGAGAAAAGGTTATACTGGCACACAGGTTTTGTACAATCTTTTCTAGATAGAGTAAAGATAAGTGATAAGAATTGGGGAGCTGAAGAAGGAAAAAGAATGTTAAAAATGGAATCTGGACATTTTTTTTGGTGGTACTGGGATATGGATTCAGGGCCCTGTGCTTGTTAGGCATGCATTCTACCACTTGAGTCATTCTACTAACCCTAATCTAGACGTTTAAAAAATTTAATAATGCCACTCTACAGAGATAATAGGGTTCCCTGATTAACTTTCAGTTAGGTAATGGCCACTGACAAACAGAAGACCAAAAGCTTGACATTCCCATTCTGTTAACAGGTTTGTGTGAATCCAAGAGCTAGTTGATCCCAACTATTCTGTGAAACAAATTTTTAATCGTGCTGGGTATCAAACCTGGGGCCTGACACATGGGCAAGTATTCTACTAATGAGCTACATCCCCCACTCCCCAACCCACCAGCCCCCCAGCCATCCTTTCCTTTAAACTTTTTGGTGGTGCTGGGGTTTGTACTTGCTAGGCAAGGGCTCTAAAGCTTGAGCCATACCTCCAGCCCTCCTTCTGAGAAATTGCAAATGGGCATTAGCAAAGGATAAAGGGGTACTTCCAATGCACTATTTGGTAAACAATGGTAACAATTCATTCTAGTTTCTTAACGCCCATCATCCTCCTTGAGGTAGTCACTTTTCTTTCAATGGTTGTGAGATAAGAGTGGAAAGAAATATTCCCAGTGGGCACTATAGCAGAACACTGTCCTTCACAGGCAAATACAAAGCATTCCCAGGTCCAAAGTGACCACTTAGTGCCAGACATAAAATACCTAAGTAATTTATAGGTGACTTTCTAAAAACATCAGAAACATATGAATTTTACTTTTTCTTTTTTTTGTGTTACCAGGGCTTGCACTCAGGGCCTACACCTTGAGCCACTCCACCAGCCCTTTCTGTGTTAGATATTTTCAAGATAGGGTCTTGCAAACTATTTGCCCTAGCTGGCTTTGACCCGTGATCCTGCTGATCTCTGCCTCCTGAGTAGCTGGGATTACAGGCTGGAGCCACTGGCACACAGCAAAAAAAAGATACGAATTTTAATCACAAAATAGCAAAGTGGTTTGAGACCTAGGATGCTTCTAATAATTGGTGGTGGTGTTGAATTTCCCTTCTCAATGAGAAGAGAAACTAAGGTTTATGGAGTATCTGATGTTTACCAGTTGCTCAAGTAGGTCGTTTATACTGACTGAAAAAACTTCAATATATCAGATATTATTATTACTATCTTCATTGTATAGGTGAGGAAACTGAGGCGCAGAGAGGTTGAGTAACATGACCAAGTTTGTGCATAGCAATGGGTGTTACAGCTACAGTAGTGAAACTGAAGTCAGTTTATATCTAAAACACACGTTCCTTTCACTACACCGCATTTCTATTTCAGTGACCAAATACCCCTATTTTTTCTAAGTAAAAAGAAAGACTGGAAGCCATCTTCAGGGGCTCATGCTTGTAATCCTGGTTACTTGGGGACTGAGATCAGGACGATCACAGTTTGGGCAAATAGGTTGCGAGACCCCCATCTCCAAAATAACCAGAAGAGAGTGGATTGGAGGTGCGGCTCAAATGGTAGAATGCCTGCAGGTTCCAGAAGCCTTGAATTCAAACCCCAGGCCCCGCCCCCACCAAAACAACAAAAACAGAAACACTGGCCCCAGCACCCACCGGTTTCTAAACTCATGAATCATTATAATTAGTGGATTACCTGAGACTATTTAGTCATAGATATTAGAGCAATCATAAACTTTCCACTTCCCTCCAAATTGAAAGTATGCTAGGTTGATGACTCCCCCAAGGATGAGGTTTCATTATCTCGTGAAAAAGGGAGAAAAGTAAAAACAAGGCAGCCAATTTTAATGAGGTAGTAGAATGCATTTTCCTTTTTAATGTGCTTACTAGATAAGATAGAAAGGGCACAACTCCACTGAAAGAGTGGTGCCCAATGGACACAATCAAAATTTTAATATGTGATTCTATTCCCCAATGTCCCGCTCAAAATTGTTAAATACATCTTCCTCTAGCCCTGAGTGAAATCCCGGTCAGAATATATAGCCTCTTTCCTGACCCTTAATTCAAAAGATATTCTCTGGACATATTCGTTCACAATAATAAGTCTCTTTTAAGTAATTAACATCTTAAGACTAGTTAATAATCTGTACTTCACCCTCAATTAAAATATTTCTTCTCCCAGCTGAGGCCGCTCCAGGCAACAAGACTAGAGGGAGGAGAGTTTTCCAGTTACCCTCTACATCTCCACCTCGCAAACACTGAGCCCTGGTTTCTGTTCTCCTAGGTTGGGGGAGAGTAAAATGAAGGACTGGTTTTAATTAATGGTACAGCTAACATCTGGTTTTTGTTCTCTGTTCACATGACAAATGTTCAATGAGTATTCTTTCTTTTACAAGAGCTTTTGTATTATTCATCCACATTTCTACCTCTTAGAATTTTGTTCAGCTGTCTATTGTCCTTCAAGACCAAAACAAAGACCTAATGAGTACCTACTGTGTGTCACACACTGTACCAGTTATCATAGTATTTATACAAACTTCTGGCAATGTTAAACACAATGCAAAAAGACATAGTAGAAAATAATATTTCAGAAAAGTACCATATGTTCTCTCTCACAAATTTAAGCTAAAAAATGTTGACCTGAATGTAGAATAGTGGATGCTAGAGATTGGGAAGTGTGAGGGGTGGGGGCTGGATAAAGAGAGTCTGGGATTTGATTATGCACATTTGTATGCATGTGTTGTAATATCACACTGCACTCCATTAATATGTACAATTTAAACATGTTAATCAAAAATAAAGTAGTAAAAAAGAATGTAGTATTGATATGCAAACATTAAAATCATTGTGTTTAATGACAAAAATTCAAACATATAAGGGTACCTATGGTACAATTCTATTTGTATGAAATGTCCAGAAATAACAAATCCATAGAGACAGAAAGTGGATAAGAAATTGATGGGAGCTGAAAGTGAGGAAATGAGAAGTCCTGCTTAATATGTGTGGGGTTTCTTAGGGACAATAAAACTGTTCTGGAATACGATAATGGTGATGACTCGATAATATTGTGGACATAGCTGAAATTAGCTTTACACTTTTAAATAGTTAATCAATTGAATTTTGTGTTAATTTTATTTCAATAAAAATAATTTAAAAAAGAAATCAAAAAAAATAAATTTTCAGTACCAAGAGTCATACTAACTTTTTTTCAACTGCTTTTTGCATGACGTCTGATTTTACTAGGCAATTGCTACTGTAAAAAAGAGATAGGCCATTAATATTTTCACTTTCCAGGTGTTAGCTTATGTATCCTGAAAATTACGTTAGCTCCAATATAGCGTGTACTTTGAAGTTGTAAGTAGAAAACTATCTTCAGACACTATGCATTCTTAATCTTGAAATGTATATGCCTACAAATTGTAGTTTTATATTTAGTATATACTTAATATAAAGTATTCAGTATACTTGATAAGTATAAAGTATTCTTATCAAGTTTTAATTCAGTTGAATCTCAGAAGAAGATAAAAAAATATGCAAAGAGAAACAAATTGGCTTGGCATTGAATTAGTAAGGTGATCTCTTGAACTTTAAACTCCACATCACAGCATGAAGTTGGTTCTATGATAAGAAATAGAATAAATGCTCTCCTAATGATAGGACTGAATCTCTGTTTGCTGAGAGGCCAACTCAACTGAGATCATGGCATTTGATGGAACCTGGAAAGTAGACCGAAGTGAAAACTATGACAAGTTCATGGAAAAAATGGGTAAGAACTTCATTTCTTGCTGGCTGTTTCTTTCTTTTCTCACAGATACTTCTCCAGCTTCAGAGTGGCTCCTAGTGTGGTGAGGATCCAGCCTGTAATGGTTCGGAGTAGGAAAACCGTATTGTCACTTCCTGCTTTAGAAAGAATACACTGTCTTACTAGGGAAAGGAAAGATTCTGAGCACCTCTAAAACACACAGGGAAAGATCCAAATATGTTTCCTTCACTCTTTAACTCTTGGCTTACCTACATAACTAAAACTTGACACCTTTTGTTTAGGGAAAGACAATGATAGTAATAATTTCCACATTTTAAAACATTGAATTACAGAACATGAATGGAAAAGCAAAGATCATATAAGGTAGAAAACAGCTTTATCGAAACCCACTTTGAATAAATTAGATTTAATTCTCTTCTCTGACTTACAACTTTAGGAACAGCTTCAAGAAACTGTATTTTTTTTGAGGAGGTTTAATTTGTTTTATAATACTGTCTAATATTCTGGAAGACTAGCCACCGTGCAAGTTAGGCAAACAAATTTGTGTCATTCCCCAAAATAAAAAGCTGCATCTATTATATCCTACAGTTTAAAGAGGCCACGTTTATGGAATTTGGACATTGTATAATAATGAATTTGGCCATACACTTTGATAATTTTTCTGTCTTGGATCAGTCAGAAATTCCACAAAAAGCAGTAATTATGAAATTCAAATTTTAAAAGTAAACTAGGTGTGGTGGTTCATGTCTGTAATCCCAGAACATAAAGGGCTGAGACAAGACAATTATGAGTTGGAGGCCAGCCTGGATTACATAGCCAGACCCTAGGTCAAAATAAATAAGTAAATAAATAAATAAATGCAATTATAGAAAGCAAAGTGGTGTTAAAAATAGTGAATATGAATAATTGTATCTGTTTCTTTTTAAATATACCTTTTAATAATTCATTTGAAATTTCAGGAATTTGATTTACTTCACACTGAGACAAAAAGTTTGTCAGTCTTACTAAAATCAGTCAGCTCTAAGAGGCTATAATTCTGTACTTCAGTTAATTTTTCTTTTTCATTTTGCTCTCTTTTTCTCTATTAACGTATACTAATTACACAAAGGGTTCATTGCGGCGATATTCCATACATGCATATAACATACTTTGATCAAATTCACCCCATTATTCTTTCTTATCCCTTACCCCCCGTATTAAATTTTTAACATTATGATTATTAATTATTCTACTACTTAATTTTTCTTAAGTTTGGAAAAACAACTTGTCAGTTGTCTTGGTCTGACTGAGCCTGAACTTTTTCTCTAGAAGAAATCTGAATACTGATGTGCAAAGGCAATACTACTGGGTTTTCTTTCTATCCTCAAAATAAAAATTAACAATAAAAAATGGAACTTAGAAAAATAAACACTTTCTGGTATTTTGATTTTGATTTTTTGATCTCTTTTCTTTTGAAGGTGTTAATGTGGTGAAAGGAAGATTGCAGCTCAAGATAATTTGAAACTGACAATTACACAAGAAGGAAGTAAATTCACTGTCAAAGAAGCAAGTACTTTTCGAAACATTGAAATTGTTTTCGAACTTGGTGTCACCTTTAATTACAGCCTAGCAGATGGAACTGAAGTCAATGTAAGAAATTTTTTTAAGCAATGCATTCTTGATTTTTCTACCCAATACTGAGCAATCTGCTTTTATCTCATTGGATGGTCTAATTAATACAATTCCTCTTTGTTTACTGAAGAAGTCAACAGTCTGTTTACATTTTATATTGTATAACTTGGCAGGATTTTTAAGTATATAGTGTTTTTATTTTCATACACATCTGTGAAGGATCTGGACCGAACAATAAGAATCAGAAATGTATCCTTTGAGTGATTTAATATAGAAGTCAGTTTTTTCAAGTTTATACACTAGCAGCAACAAAAGCTTTTAGAGTTATGTAACTTAAACATAATAACCACGTAATAAATGTATTGAAGTAATAATTCGTTAATAAAATAATAAATGGGTGAGTGAGTAATCAAATGCAAAGGTCTAATGCTACATTTTAGATTATTGGGAATGTATCTTTTCATGTTTAAGATAAAAATTTTAGGAAGTAATTATTTTCAACCAGTTTTTAAAAACATTTTTGGTCTCAGAGTTTTTCTGGTTAAACTATATATGCTTGCAAAACAATTTTAACTGTTCAATATTTTATCAGTGATGCCACTCATCTGCCTTAAAATTCAGCACATGATAATTATTAAAGAAGGTGTGCATGATCGTTACCAACATAAAGTGTAGAGCCCAGTAGCCTGTGTCCAAGCCTGGCTCTGTTACTCTGAGGGGATTACTACGCCATCTTAGTTTCTTTAGTTGTAAATGGAGGTAATAGTATTAGTTCCTAGGGTGGGTGTGAAAATCAATGAAAAGTGAATGTATAGAAATCAGAACAGTGCCTGACACATGTAAAGACCCTAACAAAGGCCACCTTGTCATTGTTATTGTCTAGGGGAACTGGCACCTTGAGGGAAGTAAACTTATTGGAAATTTCAAACGCGTAGACAATGGAAAGGAACTGATTGCTATCCGAGAAGTTGTGGGTGGTGAACTAATCCAGGTGAGTTGTAAAAAAGATTTATACCTATTTCCAAAGATAAAAATGATTGCATAACAAGAATTTTCTGTTATTATTGAGTTATGGTTTTATTAAATAGACATACTTCTTTTCTTATAAAGCTCACTGATTTAAAAAATATAAACTTTTGATGTGTATTAATTAAAAAAATTATTTATATGTTATATACATCAATACCTATTTTAATCTAACTGCAAATGTAAATGATAACAACCCAAATGTGTTTTTAATGGGAGTACCCATAGCTGCATAAAATGTTCTTGATAGGTATAAGAAAAACATACCATAAGCTCATTCTAAGCTCTAATTTTAATATTTTTCTTAATTTAGGATTTTATTTTAACAGTAAATTCTTTTATGCTTATTAACACCTTTCAGACTTACAAGTATGAAGGAGTAGAAGCCAAGAGGATCTTGAAAAAGGAATAAGCCTGGTTCTTGGAGCACAGCCCAGAATACAAACTGAATGGAAGATCTGTACTGCACCAAAACTGCTTTTCTCTCCCCATCGAGTATAAGGTTATTGACTGACTAGTCCTTTTAGAAACATTGGTATATTTCCAGTCTTGTCAAAGCAAAAGTATAAAAGTTAATTAGGACTTAATTTGTTTTCTGCTCTTAAGATACACATATATGTGTGTTTTAAAAGAATTGGCAAAATTTTTAAAGCTAAAAAATAAATGTTGTTTTCACATTGCTTTGTAATGAAGCCTTCTAAAACACAAATCTGATCAAATGAATATATGTGTGAGGATATCTATACATACAACATATTTTATGTTTTATGTAAATATACATATGTAAATACACATGAGTATATATGAAAATATAAACATATCTTAAAAATGAAATAATCATGCATAAAAATCATAGTAAATATGTCAAGTTGGTGGGGTTAAAAGTTACTCGGTTAAATTTTTTTCTTTATGACTTCTTATATTCTCTAGGTTACATGTATTGACTTCTCACTAACTTATAATTTCCTTGTTTCTTAAAACATAGAGAAATATCTAATGAATGAGAAAATGTTGATACAGTTGTCGATTTTTAAAGTGTTTACAAAATAATATACGCACATGATAGCATTTATTTGTGTGTATGTACCATGTATTTGTACATATATGCTGGGAGGTACATAAACGCATATGTGATGCATTTATACATAGATATTGTGAGTACACACACATATACATAAATGTTAACACAGGCTACTTTGGATAGTGAAGTCTTAAATGATTTTCATTTTCTTTGTGCTTCAGCTATCTTTTCAAAGTTTTTTTTCTATACTGAATATGTGTATTCATGGTGGAGACTCTGCTAAGTATGATTCCCTGTGGCAAGAATATAAAGCATACAGGCAAAACCAGTTGGTGCTTTCTCTAAAATAGTAATATGTTTTGGTTTCCATGAAATTGCTTCTGCCATCCTAGAAAGCAGCACTTTGGCAACATCTATATTTCATTCTAAGATGGAAATTTGCTTCATTTCATCAAAGAACAAGTCTCTTGTAGTATCTTGCCAACTAGATAGTTTGGAGTCAGTTACCTGCAGTTAACTTTCTTTTTGGTGCACCTGCAAATGAGGGCGCCTCAGTTAAGCAACAAAGTAGGCAAGGAGTCAAAATATTACACTGGTAAACTCAGAACCCTGTACCCTAGAAGACAGTGATGTATGGATTTATTATGAGGTAACATATGAGATGTCAAACACTGACATTCTGTTCCTAGAAAGTAGGAAAGAAAGAGATGCTTTTTGGATGTGTTTATTTGACCAGTATATATCTACTCTTGAATAATAGGATGGGAATCAAAGGATGGACTAAGTCAAACATTTGTGTGAGTCAATGCCCTGTAATAGCTATCCTTATCTCAACCAGCAAACACCCCTTGTTCCTTCCTATTATTGCTTAATACTCTCTCTCAACAAAATTAGAGATAAGGGCAAATAGTTTCCTGCAGGCTGGGTATTGGGGGGGGGGAGCGGGAGGGGGTGGAGTGGGTGGTAAAGGGAGGGGGTGGTGGCAGGGGGAGAAATAAACCAAGCCTTGTATGCACATAGTGAATAATAAAAGAAAAATTAAAAAAAAAATAAAAAAATAGGAGGATCCTAAGGAATCTGGAAAGTGATTTTAAGTGACAATGTGTTCACATGTTCTCAGCATTACAAAGTAGTATAAGTATATAATACGAATACTAGAAAATTAGTTTCGAAAGGAATTATACGTATTTCATATGCATAAAATCTTACAATATTTAGAGATAAAATTTAATAGAAAAAATATATGCAATTCCGCAATTCCTTGAAAACCATATAATTCGTTAATAGAAAGCTGGTAAATTTCTTAAATAATCAAAGATGTTATATTTTGTTCAGATGTTAGAGAACCTGAATTTTGCCAAGTGCTCATTTTTCATGAAATTGAAACTCTACATCAAAAATTTCTGGAATTTTGTTCCCCTAGGTAGGAATATTTTAGATGAATGAAATTTGATCCAATATGTATACAGAAAACAAAGAATCTAAAAAATGTCAGGATAATTAAAAAAAAAAAAATTTGTGTTGTATTTTTCTACATGTTTAGTGATTCTCAAATCTGGCGTGAAAAAAATCATAATTACAAATTGAAAAACAAACAGAGTTTTGCACATTTTTTAACTCCCCTGTTCCAATCATTAGGTCAGAATCTCAGGAAAATAAAAATCAGGAATTTTAGAAAACTTCCTTGATGATTTTTCTGATGCAAGCTGCCCACTAGCCAGTCTTTGGAAAACCAAAGACTTTTAAGAGCTTACCCATCGCACTTTTTTGGTAATGTTGTTCATAAACACATACACTGCCAATTTGCCATGGCCTTCAAAAGATCTTCTTTACTCATATTCCTACATAAATGACTATTTTATTTGCAATCAAGCAGCTATATTTTAGCATGGTGGTATATTGGATGTGGGAGGGGAGGTTCAATTTTTTTAAGCCATTGCAAATCTATGATGTTATTTATGACAATTGTTTTTCATACTGATGTAAACAAACAGATAACCATTTATATACTTCCCACTATGTGGCCATTACACTGTGAAAAAGTTTGAGCATGTGTGGGGAAATGAGTAAATTTTTGACAAAGTATGTGATCTTTTACAAAAAAACTAAAATCCATGTTCATTTTAAACTTCATAAAAATCTTTCAGAATAGCAAATATGAATTACTAGGTTTTCCACGTTTTTTTTCCACGAAGTTCAATGTACTTTTACTTCTCTAATCTTCATCTGTCTACTTATGTGACTAGGAAAAGTATAGGTTTTTATTCTCATTTGTTTGTAAGTGAAGAGGAACTCCACAAAGCTGTCTTTAGCTTGTCTAATGTTGTTCCAGTTGTCCATGATGAATGCAAGAATTAAATGTAGGTCCTTAACTTTTAGTGTTGGTTCATTCATGCATCTATGCTATTACTCAGCTATTTATCAAACAAAAATATCTTAAGAAAAAAATTCCTTTTAATTCCTTAGTGGCACCCAAGAATAGCAACTCCAATGAGTCAGCAAAACTGTAAAATAATGGCCATCAGTGGTGAGGACAATTTTCTATGCTAAAACTCACTGCAGGCTTTCTTTTTTCAAAAATTATATCCTTTCTAGTATTAAATTTTCCACTATTTTAGTATTTAGAGGAGCCAGCTTATATTTTCTCAGTAAACTACCATTTTCAACAACCCCTCTTCAGGACAACTGACCTTGCCTTTATACCACCTTGCCTTGGGTCCAGAAAGGAGGGTGCCTGACCCAAGAGCAGCCAATCTACCCACAATTGTTGTTCAGCTTATAGCTCCTTGCAAAGGAACAGAGCTACTATCGAACCTAGAAGAGCCTCTTTTCAGGAGTTTTGAATTTTTGAGAGCTTATACAGTAGAAAACTTAGGAAGGAAAAATGGTATGAAAAGGACTAATAAGTAAGAATCCACAAGTATGGTGAAACTATGAGCATTGGCAGAAGCGATAGCAGACTAGATGGACAGTTAGAAGCAGCTACATTGTTACGCAAATTGTTGAAATATTTACACATGAAATGGAGTATCTAGGATTTGCTTCAAAATTCCTTTTTCCTCAATGTTAGTGTTGGAGAGGAAGTAGGAAGGACATGTATGAAACACAATTAGTTGCAAGTACAATGTTCAGCTGTTAAAAGTACCCAACACAACTAATAGATGATAGTTTCACGGTAATCTAAGAGGGACATAGGATTTTCATTATACTCGTTTCCCTACATTTTTCATGTACTTTGAAATTTTCTATAAAAAGGCCATTAAAAGTCTAATACATACACATAAATCCCAATCCAATTTACTTGCAATTACTTTTTGCCACTTATTGCTTTCAGTCTAAGCCATAATTACTTTTCACCTGGATTTCTACAAGAACCCCCTAAAAATTCAACACCTAACACTAACCTACCCTATCCCCCTTAGTCTCCTTTTTTTTCAACACAAGAAGCCAGATGGATCCTTTAACAGGGTCTAAATCAAATCATATCACTTCTCTTGCACACTTAGTGCCCCCCATTTCATTTAGAGAAAAGCCATGTCCATATAAGGTCTTACAAGACCCTGTAAGATTGAATTCCCATACATTTATCTGACTTGTAGTCCAGTTTCAATGGAGTATCTGGAAGGAAGAGGCATTCCAAGCAAAGGGAAAACATCCTGGAGCAAAGGGCTCCAAGGCAGGAGACAGGCTTGGTGAATTGGAGATGTGGATAGTTTGCACCATCGCTAAGGTCATCCAGAGCTGACCAAATGTAGGCTGGACTCAGACTTCCAGAATTCAGAAATGAGCTGATGAAAAGGCAAAACAAGTTTTATAATCACAGGACTTGCCTAAACTTCCTTTTTTTATTCCACTTACCAAAAATTCTAGCTCTATCCCAATTTTTCTGACTTGAAAAATGAAGGTGTTTTGTCTACTGTATAGCTTTAAGATAAACTATATCAAATACATTACATGTGCCTTCTCTTATAGAGGAAACAAAAAAGATTAGTCTTTTTTTCGCATTTTTTCAAAAAATAAAAGATTATGTCTTGATTAGATAGGTAAACTCTTCCATTTCTTTAAAAATCTGTCTTGAAGCCTGTGTGATAGAGTGAGTCTTGGGCCTGACAGAAGAGAATATTTTAGTTTCAGAGTCCTGACCTGTGAATATCTAGCTGGGTACTTTGGGGAAGTCACTCCATTACTTTTGGAATGAAATTCAATGATTCTTTTAAAATGAGATTGCGACTGGATCTCTTACCATTCTCCTCCAGTTTGCAAAGATTCTATGATGTCTACATATAGTGACTCTTCCTTTCCTAAGGGGGGCAGTAATCACAGGGATGAGGGAAAAAAGAGGGTGGGGAAACAGCTCAGATGGGCCTGTGCTGGTTTAATGCTCTGCTGTT